TAGTCCCGGTTGGTGTTACCAACCGGGATTAAAGGGTCCTTTAGTATGGGTTGGTGTTACCAACCGGGCTAAAGGGTCTACCTTTAGTCCCGGTTGGTGTAGTCCCGGTTGGTGGCCTCAACCGGGAGTAAAGGTCCACCTTTAGTCCTGGTTGGTGTCTCCAACCGGGACTAAATGTCCCCTGCCACTGTGCCGAGCGCAGTAGCTGTTGGGTAGGGACCTTTAGTCCCGGTTGGAGACACCAACCGGGACTAAAGGTCTCTCTATTCCCGGGCGCAAAAAATGCCGGAACTAGAGCCCTTTTTGGCCTCGGATGAAAGGTCTGTTCTCTACTTAGTGACGGTAATGCCCTCGGCAAAGATTGACGGCAGGGGATGGAAGTCGTGTTAGGTGGTGTTGCCGAGGGCTTAGCCCTCGGCAAAGAATTATTGTTGCCGTGTGCTTGTCTGCCCTCGGCAAAGAGTCTTTGCCGAGGGCTGTTCTTTGCCGAGGGCCAGGCCCTCGGCAAAGACTCTTTACCGAGTGCCCGATCATTTGCCCTCGGCAAATCCTCAGGCCCTCGGCAAAGATGCTCTGTCCGGTAGTGGTTGCTTCATATTATCTTTGACAATGGTATATGTAGATAATTTAAATACAACTTTAGGAGCTTACTTTGTTGCATAGGTGGCAGGTTAATAAACAAATTAGATCCCATATATATTATTGTCACAGTTGATTAGAGTTTATGTAATTGATGGCCCCATATTTCTATTTTCTCTAAGAATTTCTAGGATTTTCTCTTTTTGTCACATCTCGTGATGACTGATTAACATGGATATCCTCCTATTAATAATAGTAAGATTAGCCAGATTCACTACTTGAAAAAAAAATACTTTCTTGTGCCGAGTGCCTGAGACTTTGCCGAGTGCTTTTTATCGGGCACTTTCGGCAAAAGCAATATTTTACCGAGTGTGCCACTTTTCGGCAAAATAAAGCACTTTCGACAAAGGTGGCTTTGCCGAGTGCCGTGCACTCGGAAAGCCTCGGCTCTCGGCAAAAATGCGGAACTGGCTTTTGCCGAGAGTGCCCTACTTGATACTTTCAAAAAAGTCCCACTTTTCGGCAAAAGGTGGCTCGCCCATGACGCGCCACACTGTCGTCAGATTTTGCCGAGTGCCTAACTGATGGCACTCAAACAATTTTTTTATTTTTAAAAACTTATTTTGCCGAGTGCCATCCCTGTGCACTTGGCAATTTTTTTTTTTTTTTAAAACATATTTTATCGAGTGCCCAATTCATGGCACTCAAATTTTTTTTTTTTTTAAACTTATTTTGCCGAGAGCCGCACTCAAGGCACTTCGGCAAATTTTTTTAAAAAGCATATTTTGCCGAGTGTAAGTCTTGGGCACTCAAAGAATTTTTTTTAATTTTTACAACTTATTTTGCGAAAGTGCAGCCGCTAGGCACTCGAATTTTTTTTGAAAATCAACTTTGCCAAGTGCCCCCCGGGCTTCAAGACACTCAACAAAGTTTGACTTTGCCGAAAGTGCCCCCATGGCACTCTCGACAAAATATTTTTTTTTTATTTTGGGCCCAAATTTTTTTCTGTGGCCTTGTAACAGTATTTCAAACTCTATTTTAAAATTTGGGGCAATTTTGACTTTTTTTGATATATTTCATTTGTTTATTTCATTTCGTCGAATTTTTTGAGATATTTCAAATTTGAACTGCAGGTACATGGAATAATGGACTTTGGTCATCCAAAAATTGATACTCATGATATTTAGGGTATGTTTAGGCCGTATCCAGGAATTCACATGAAATCTCGAGCATCTCGTTGACGTAACATGTCGAGGTACTTGCCGGAAATGTGATTTTAAATTATATAAAATGCAAACCAAGTCCGAAAATCATGAAACTTGTCGAGGCGTCGTGTTATCGCATGTGGACGCTGTGGTAAAAAATTGTGAAGGTTTCGATCAAGTTGTGACATCGGATGCCAAAAAAAACTTTGCCGAGTGCCTGAGCTGGGGCACTCGGCAAAGTAATTTTAAAAAAATATAAATTTTTTTTTGCCGAGTGCTGGGTTGGGCACTCGGCAAAATAACCGTTAACGGTGTGCAATGGCCGAAAATATTTTGCCGAGTGCCGCCCCAAGCACTCGGCAAAATTGTTTTTTATTTTGCCGAGTGCCCCGATAAAAAGCACTCGGCAAAGACCCTTTGCCGAGAAAAAATTTGCCGAGCGGACTTTGCCGAGTACTACACTCGGCAAAGCCTTTGCTGAGTGCAAAGGGATCTTTGCCGAGTGTAAAAACACTCGGCAAAGCCGCGGCCTCCAGTAGTGATTAGTTTTTTTCAAATAATAAAGTTGGTAAAGTTAAGCTAACTAGGTTCTTATATTGTTGTTTGCCATCATGTTCTGCATTATGGAACATATCTCCAATTATCTTATTCCTGATACACCGTACCTTTTTGCTAAGAGCAACAGAACTTTCCATTATGACCAGAGGGACCGACTAATCTGATATGGTGCCATCAAAGTGAACTAAAACAAATTTAGAAAGTCTAGAATAAAAATAAAGGATAATACTACTATCCAGAAATGTACAATTTACTTATTTATTTATAAACCATGAACAGTTAATTAATGGGTGGGTGCATAGTCTTTATTCTCTTGTGTTATGTTGGGCCAGATGATAATGATTATATGTACCCACTAGCTATGAATCATAGCTACCCATTTTCACAAGTCACAATTTAAAATAAATAGAATCTTTGCCAAATAAAAGTTCGCGTGATTTTATGAATATTTAACAAAAAGAATGTAATAACGACGGTGCCATTGGAAAAAAAAGGGGGGCTACGTATGTACTTAACTATCGCTAAGGATGGATTTGGACCACCACTTGTCGATTACTCAACTGGTAGAAAGCCAGCCAGACAAAGTGATGAGGTATGCTGCCTTTGAAACTCTATAAAATAGTTGATCTGCATGTATGCAACTAGTACAACTTAGATAGATCTAGTAGCGACAGATGGATAAGATATAAAGGTGACATATAAATATAATATCCATGCATGGGATATGTATTATAGATTGCATGCAATCGGTTTCGGATCGCGGCATCACACAAATCCACTGTACGTATGCGCACTGGCCTGGCCGGTGATGTAACAGTGACGAGGGAGAGAGATGCCTATTCTTTAGCTAGAGGCATTGGTGACTATTATTCTTTATCTTTTGATTTGCATCAATGCATGCCTTTCACTACTGGAAACGCGTGCTTTGCTGAGGGCTTGAAGCTTTGCTGAGGGCCAAATCTCGGGCACTCGGCAAAGACACTCTTTGCCGAGGGCCAGCCACAGGAGCCCTCGGCAAAGAACGGCCCTCGGCAAAGACAGGCCCACGGCAAATCAAATCTTTGGCGAGGGCCGCGACCCTCGGCAAATTAGGCCCGTTGGGTCACGGCGGCCATTCCCGTCAAGCTTTGCCGAGGGCCACCCGTTAGGCCCTCGGCAAAGGTTTTTTTTCCTGTGAAACCAATTTTTCAGCAATTTTTTTTTAAAAAAGTCTTTGCCGAGGGCCCTAGACCAAGCCCTCGGCAAAGATTTTTTTTTGAACCATTTTTTGGCCAATTTTTTTTTTATAAATCGTCTTTGCCGAGGGCCCGAGGCGAGGTCCTCGGAAAGAAGCCCTTTGCCGAGGGCCAGGCTAGGCCCTCGGCAAATATTTTTTTTTGGTTTTTTTAGCCCAGTTTTTTTGTGGTGCTACAATATATTATTTTGAACTCAATTTTAAAATTTGGGCCAATTTTGACTTTTTTTGTATATTTCCTTAATTTATTTAAATTCTTTGATTTTTTTCGAATATGTCAAATTTGAACTGCAGGTGCATGGAATATTGCAATGTAGTGTTTCGAAAAATGTTATTCATGTTAATTGGTGCATGTTGAGTCCCTATCCACGAACTCGCATCAAATTTCGCGTAACATGACGACCAACTTGCCGGAAAAGTGTTTTAAAATTATATAAAATCCATACAAAGTCCAAAAATCATGAAACTTGGCGAGATGTCATGTTATCGCATGTGTAGGCTGTGGCAAAAATTTTAGAAGGTTTCGAGAGAGTTGCGACGTCGGATGCATAAAACCCAGACATCTCCACATGTGATCACATGTGGAGGTGACATCTCCACATGTGATCACATGTGGAGGTGTCTGGGTTTTATGCATTCGACATCACAACTTGCTCGAAATCTTCTCAATTTTTTACCATAGCCTACACATGTGATAACATGACACCTCGACAAGTTTCATGATTTTCGGACTTCGTATGGATTTTATATAATTTAAAAACACTTTTCCGACAAGTTCCTCATCATGTTACGTGAAGAAGATGTCCGAAATTTGATGCGAGTTCGTGGATAGGGACTCAACATACACCAAATACCATGAATAACATTTTTTGAATCACTAAATTGCATTATTCCATCCACCTGCAGTTCAAATTTGAAATATTCGAAAAAAATCAACGAAAAGAAATAAATTAGGGAAATATATAAAAAAACTCAAAATTGGCCCAAATTTTAAAATTGAGTTTTCAATAATGTATTATAGCACCACAAAAAAACTGGGTTTAAAAAACAAAAAAAACAAAAATCTTGCCGAGGGCCTAGCCTGCCCTTGGCAAGGGGATCTTTGCCGGGGCACGCCAAATGACCCTCGGCAAAGAAAATTTAAAAAAAAAAAATCTTTGTCGAGGGCCTGGATCTAGGCCCTCGGCAAAGGGCTCAACCCTAAATCGGCCAGGCGGCCCGGCCCAAAATCCCCGCCCACATTTTATATGCGCCGCCGCTTTCGCCGCCGCCACGCCCACCCCTCGCCCGCCGCCCGCTGCTGCGCTTCGCTCCGCCCGCCTTCCCACCACCGCCGCCCAAGCTCACGCGCCCGCGCCAAGCGGCGCCACGCCGATGTTGGCAACGTCGACGTCGAGCCCGAGACCTCGGCGACGACGACGACGATGTCTCCGACAGTCCTCCTCCTCCTCCCCGCCCGCAGCGGAGGGCGCTCCTCCGCCTTGAGGCCATCGGGATCGCGGTCGGCACCCCATCTCCAGTCCGCCAGCTCCGGGGAGGCGGCGCAGCCGCCCAGTCCCGCGTCCTCGCCCGTCCCTGCACCCGCTGCCACTGCCCTCGCCCAGGCTGCCGGACCCGCTGGGATCGCCGATGGGTGGGGCGACAGGACGACGCCGCATGCCAGGTGCGGTGTTTTCTGCTTCCAAAATAAATCGCCTTTTTTTCTTCTTTTCGCCCAATTTAATCGAATTCAATTCGATCGCATGGATGACTGTATGTGTAGCATGGCTCGATTTGATTGCCTGTAGATTCTACTCACGTGTGTAGGGGAAGTGCTACATTTGCAGTCAATTTGCAATTGGCATTGTAGTATGATTCCGTAGTTCCAACAATCGGTTGAGATGTTACTTTCAGCTAGTAGTTGAAAGGCGTTTATGATTATTCGGGGATCCTTAGCATTTATTGAGATGTGGAAATGTAGGAACAAAGGGGATTGGGACTGTCTCTGTACTAGAATGTTTGTTTCAACTGAATTTTCGAGCAGTTGACAATTGCTCATAACAGACATCTACTACTATTGCCCTACAGTTCACCTGTTCTGGACAGAAGTCAACGAAAAAGGGGCTCTGCTTTTTAGTTCATCATGTAATCTTTGGGGAGTCTTGCAGATTGAAGATCGTTTTTACATTTACCTGGAATACGTTCACCCGGGTTCAATTAATAAGTATGTCAAACAACATTATGGAGCAATGACAGAATCAGTTATTCGCAACTTCACCCGCCATATTCTAAGGCGTCTAGCATTTTTGCATGGCCAAAAGATTATGCATAGGTATGCAAATCCCTGTCATTGTTCAAATGCATTTTTTTTGTGCCAGGTCAACTGGTATGTTGACTTTGTGGCTTGGTTCCTAGTTCTTCTGTCTTGCTTAGGAGCTTCTAGTAAACTTTCGCAATTTTAGATTTTCCCACACAAAACTTTTTAGGAGAAACTTTCCCACAAAATACTTATTTGTATAATTTTTCTCACATAGATCTCCATGCTATTTGCCTCTTTTAGTTCATGTCGCTATGTTCTTTCTTATGTTGGCTTACTAGACTTTGGTATGCAAATTTGTTATTGCATCCGAGATCCAAATGCATCACTGTTGGAGTGTTGGTTATATTGGTCATCCCTTATCATGATACCTTGTCGTTTCTGTGGTCATTTGAACATATATAGGATGGGAGATGAAGGAGCTATGGTCTCATTTTTTTTAAAAAAAAAAGTACTCATGAAAGTACATAAAAATAGGAACTTTGTTGACAACCATGATCAGAAATAAAACTCAAGCCATCTTATTCAATGCCTTAGCTCACCTAGGCGAATATATGAAAAGGTGGAGGGCATAGCTTGTGTATCAAAGCTGAGCAACCTCAAACAAAAGTTTTCAAAAGAGTAACATGGAGTGCACCTCTCAGTATGGTTTTGATTGCTATATACTAATGCATCTGCTTTCAGTTTGTGTCATTTATGTAAAAGGCAATGAAAATATACACTTGCAGGGATATCAAAGGAGCAAATCTGCTAGTTGATGTTCAGGGTGTAGTCAAATTGGCTGACTTTGGAATGGCCAAGCATGTGAGTATGGACTCATGAGTTCAGTAACATTTTTCATGTGGCACCATTGACACCATTTTCTCCTTTTACCAGTTAAGTACTGCAGCCCCTAATCTTTCACTGAAGGGAACACCATACTGGATGGCCCCAGAGGTATCTTAAGATATTCCTTGTATTACTACCAACTTTTCATGCAACTAAGTATCAATTTAATTTTCTATGTACAACATGTGACCCCCCCCCACCACCACACACACACACAAACTTTGGTCTGTATAAAATTGTAATGTTGCATAACACGATAATACTATGATTTTTATCTAACCTTACACTGTTTTCAGCATGGGTTGTCAATTACAGTGTGAACTCGAGTAATATGCTCAGGCAAGATCGTGAAAAAAAAACATTGGGAGCTCAGAAGTTCTGTACTTACTGAAACTGCAAAGTACAGTGAGACTACAGAGCCTGTTGCATGGGCTGCTTAAAGTCAGTGTGTGCAACAAAGGAATAAGAACATATATTATGTTGATGGGCTATGAAGCTCTCTTAACTTTGTACGAAATGCATTTGTAATCAAAATAAATATTATTTGATATATGAACTCACAAACGGGCAGTTAGTTAGGCAACCAATTGTGAGACATACAAAATAAAAACAACAGTAGCTCATTTCTCTAGTTCACAGCTTGGGTGGCAGTTTTTTTTAATGAATTAGTTAGCCTTTAGTAGAAAGCCAATTTGGCTTGTCAAATGAGCCTATTACTGTATTTTGCTGCTTCATGTGTTTATTTTTATATCAAAGTTAGTAACATGCTTGTGACTAGAAATTTATTTGTACCGTTATTGATAAAAATTTTCTTTCTTCAGATGGTTCAAGCTACACTAATGAAAGATGTAGGCTATGATCTCGCTGTTGATATATGGAGTCTCGGCTGCACCATCATAGAGATGTTCAATGGAAAGCCTCCTTGGAGTGATCTTGAAGGGGTAATAACTTGAAGTATGCTTATATTTTACTTCACCATCGTCTCATAGGCTAGCTTGATGAGGACTCGTGCTAGGTGATGTGGTTGGACTTTAGCGTGATTTGTGATTTATGGTTGTGACTTGTGCTTGGATTTCATAAACTTGTCGTAATAAACATGTGAATGATGATGAACATGTGACTTGTCGTTGTAATATATTGTGATTTGTGGTTCACAATTATGGTTGTGATATATTGTGAGAAAATGGGTTCTGTGTGATATATATATGTATATATATGAAATGCTTGTGTTGATGGAATGCAAAAACAAAAAAAAAATTAAATTTCTGCCTCTTTGCCGAGGGCAATGACCAAGGCCCTCGGCAAAGAAGGGTCTTTTGCCGAGGGCCCTAGCAATAGCCCTCGGCAATGATTTTTTTGGGAAAAATCCTAAAAATTTATTTGCCGAGGGCCGGCCCTCGGCAAAAACAATTCAAAAAAAAAATTCTTTGCCGAGGGTCGGCCCTCGGCAAAGAAACCGCCAACGGCGCCGGCGCGAGACGGCTTCTTTTCTTTGCCGAGGGCCGTCCTGGCCCTCGGCAAAGACCCCTTCGCCATCTAAAAATTCTCCGAGGGGTCTTTGCCGAGGGCAGCCCTCGGCAAAGCCTTTGCCGAGGGTTTCTGGTCCTTTGCCGAGGGCCAGAGGCCCTCGGCAAAGCATGCGAGTCCAGTAGTGTTTATATCTTTCTAGATTCCAAAACCACAACAGGATGTACTACATACGTGAAGATCAGATTTGCAAGGCAGCTAAAGGTGTGGCTTGTTGGACGCGACACATTGCAACAAGCAACGAGAGCTATAGCACAATTCCTCTCTGCATATGCATGGTAGGTAGGGCTCCCAGTGGAATCACTTTTGCTCTGACTTTTATATTTGCGTTTTCTTTTATGCAAAAAATGTATCTTTCTTGTGGAATCCCATATATATTTATTGATTCTATTCTTGTACATGCAACGACTGGTTTGCTCTAGGGGCAGGGCAGTGATGGCGAAGTGGTACAAATACTCCGATTGATGTACATCTGTCTCATCGTTACGTGCGAGTACGATCGAATTCATGCTTCACTCCTTGGTGGATGTCATTTTCACTTGATCTTCTGTTCTTGTTGTGCTTTAGTTTAAATTAGTTTTCCACTATTATGTACCTACAAAATTGAAACAAGATGAAATCCCACCCTCGTTCTAATTAAGATATATATGCATTGAAATTTCATTAATTTTTGCGAGGATGTTAATTGTAAAAGTTAGCTGGCTTAATACACGTGTAGAAATTGATGCTACACTGTGATGAGAACAAGTTAGTAATAGATTTTATTCATGAGAAAAGTTTTATTGTCCTTGGATTATGGTATATGGCTCAAGGATTGGCAGGAACGAAGCAGATGAAATTCTCCCAACTAAACATACTGGGCGTTCCAACTTTGGAAAGCCATATGATGAGTAGTTTTCCTTCTTTTCTGAGATAAGCATATGATAATATATGAACATCATTTATTTCCCACTTCACTTTGAATATTGTTTTTTAGCGACATGATGGGCCATGGTTCAGTCTCCTTTCATTTTCTGAAATATGCCGATTATTGTTGGCCAGATAAAATTTACAACCTTAGCAAAAGTTTCATCTTTATTTCTATATGTCTATTGTGTATTTTTCACTTAGAAACTATATTTTTGTTGACCTTTCGATTAATGGGATTACATCCATATATTAGCAGTAGACAGTGCACATTATTAGGTTGAGTTATATGTGTTATTACTTGATCAAGTTCTTTGTCATATGTTGTTGTCCGGGAGTTTCAGAAATTTTGGTAATGATTCACTATTTTTATAGTTTAAATAAATTTATGTGTGCCTATCAAAATAAATTTCGAACTGTGTGTCCCCAACAAAATTCAAAATTACATAAAACAATATGTGGGCTCATATGTTCCATTCAATCATCGCTCGTGGAGATAGATGAAAAAGTCAATTGTTTTGCAGGGAATGTTAAACCTTCTGTCTTCCATATTACCATAAAATAATTCTAATAATACATAAAGTGGTCTGAAAAACAAAACAAAAAATTGCTTGAAAGCATATTTTTGGTGTATACGCTTGCTACAGAATTTTCAGAAGGGGGACTTGCACATCATTCACAAAATGGATATACTTCAAATATAGTTCCATTTAACTCAACTCAAACTTTGAAGTTTGCACACCTCAGATCAATTTTGACCTTATGTGCACCTCATACTTTGACACAGTATGGAGTCATTTTTATCGACGTTGCACTATTTTTTACTTCACCGGCTCCAGCTCCTCCACGCACTACCTATGAGCCGAAGCCATTTAAAGCCACGCCAAACGTGGCCAATTAACTCTGTGCAAGTGGAAGGGCCAAGGATGTGTTTGTAAATTAAAATTGGTTCATGCAAGTATATTGCTGAAGTAACCAGTGAACCATATATATATTGACATACATAGCATCCAATGCCGAAGTATGTGGCCCTGGTCTTGAAAAAAGTATTGGCTGATTGTTTAAACCTTTTCATAAACTTGGGGATCTTTCAAGCTTTGAAAAGATTCCCTATTTTTGCACAAGTTGGAGCCAAGTAAATTATAATAAATATCTAAATATTCTCCCTATATCTTGCTAGACCCCACTTGAAGCTAGCTGTTCCAAACATTATCCAGAGTACGCGCATGTCGTCCGATCCGTTAGCAACTTTATCAAATGTATTGCCTGCATGTAGACTTATGGTGATCACATGATGTAACAGTTTAATTATTATATGTTGGTTTTCATGTTAGGAGCCTATTAATATTTTATAAGTTAAGAACTGGATTCGCATGCACTATATAATATCCGAGTGAGTGATCTGACTAATGAAGAGTGTCTGTTAATTATTATTTTAGTGTGAAATCTAGGTAGCTAAATTTATACCAAAATGGTCAGGATGGGTAAAGAAAACAGAACACTAGAGTGATTAATTGAATTGTAACTTACCACCTCATGGTCTCCATTTTTGGATTTCATCACTCTATATTTCAAGAATGTTAATTACTCATTCCGTTCATGTATATATATTAGCATTAGCATGCCCAAGATGTTTTGTATTTGTTATTACAGATGAAGTGTTAGGGAAAAGATTTGTATGTCCCTCATAAAAACGCTCGTGCCATCGTCGCTCCTAATTGGGAGATAGGCTAATGAGATCTGCTCAGCACTCTTAAACAGATAATTTTTTAATAGTCTTCATTTTTCTTTCTTTGCAGGGAAAGGTTGAGCTTTATATTATAGATAAACAGGGTTACCGTACTAAATGGACAACAAAGTCTGGTGCTTTCTTGATCCACACAGTCGAACAGAGATGTTCACAAGCATGTTGGCCTAATTCATGAGCAACCATATTACACATTCTATTACAGTGGACAAACTCAACCTCTCTAAGCTCATCACCAAGCAACTTAGCCTATTTCGGTTGTACTACAAATTTGGATCGATTGTCTTCATTAGAGATTAGAGCTTTGCAAATTGACTGGCAGTCAGTCTCCAAGACAACAGGTAAATCTTTTTTTATCTCTAGACAACAGGTAAATCAATCCATTGAATCGCCAATCCCAACCCCTCCGTCGGCACCATAAGTTCAGCTACTTCAGCATCAGAACAATGAAACAGAATCTGGCTTGAAGCAAATAAAACTGCAATTTGCAACCAGCATGACCATCGCTAAGGCCCGCATCAGCATTTACTTTCACATGCACAGGTTGTGGTGGTTGCCACCGATATTGCAACCGATCTCCCTATGCACTAGACTTGTGATTCAGTGGGATGGTATTCACTCCTGCCTTTCCTTTTCTATCACTTGGTACCTGTTGCCGGCCTTCCACCAAACTTTGCTGATAGCTAACCAGAAATACGTACAGAACCCTCAATCGACATGGGAGCTCCTTCATGTTTAATTTGGCTTCCCACAATGCTCAAGGATTAAGTAGCCAATCTTGATCACTTAACTATATTGTTTCTTCAGACGGTAGATCCCATTCCCTCCTCATAGCCTCTCTCAGTGCTTTTGCTTTCGGGCAGGTGACTGGGAGAGTAGCTTGGATTCAGACCTGACCCACCATGAGAATACAATACAAAAAAATAATGAAAAAAGGGAGCATTTCTTCTGAAGAAAAAAATTTGAAAAGGAGCTAAACGACAGGGATATGATTATGCTCTATAGCACTGCTCATTTTGAGCGTGCAATCCACACGTCGAAGATTCTTTATGCCCACAGGCCACATCTCTCTCTCTAGATCTCTATCTCCGATTCTCTGTCCTCCCTATCGATACATATCTCATACAAGCACCCACTGTCCTCATCCTCTGTTGGATGAACACTATAAAAAGGGCATCGATCCCACCCTGCACTCGCAACAACAAAGCACACAGCTAGCTAGCCCACAAACACTTCAGCACTAGCTAGAGCTATCAGGCTAGCTCATTGTTCGCTAGATAGCCAGCTCGATCGACTGTCGTGCCAGTGCCCGATGGCGGAGAGGGTGTCGAGACTGTCGACGGAGATGGCGGCGGTGATCTTCACGACGAGCCAGTGCCCGATGTGCCACACGGTGACGAGCCTCTTCTCTGAGCTGGGGGTGTGCGCGGCGGTGCACGAGCTCGACAAGGACCCGCGCGGCCGTGAGATGGAGCGGGAGGCTCGCCCGCGGCCTCGGCCGCGCGCCGCCCATCCCCGCCTTCTTCATCGGCGGTAGGCTCGTCGGCTCCACCGACATCATCATGTCGCTGCACCTCGCCGGCAAGCTCGTGCCCGGCGCCATACGGCTCTGAATTTTGCTAGCAGCTGGAACGTAACGTAACCCCCAAATTTTCACTACGGGAGACGCGCTCTTTGCCGAGTGCTTGACGCTTTGCCGAGTGTCAAAACATGGGCACTTGGCAAAGAGGCAGTTTGCCGAGTGCCGCACTCGGCAAAGCCGGCCCTCGGCAAAGGCCGTCTTTGCCGAGTGTCAAACACTCGGCAAAGAAGGACACTCGGCAAAGAATAACCCTCGGCAAAATACCTCAGCCGACGCGGGTGGCCCCTCTGTCATCCTTTGCCGAGTGCTGGCCGTTAGCACTCGACAAACGTGCTGTCTTTGCCGAGTGCTGCAAGCCTGGCACTCGGCAAAGAGGTTCCTTTGCCGAGTGCCAATTCCAACACTCGGCAAAGTATTTTTTTTTTCAAATTTTTTCTGTGGCATTTATACAGTACCTTGAAGTGTATGCTCCAATTTGGAACTTTTCTATGACTTTTTGGTATATTTTTTTAATTTTTTATGTTTACTTGAATTTTTCTCGAAAAAGTAAATTTGAACTGCTGGTGCATGAAATATTAGAATTTAGCGATTCAAAAAATGGTATTCATGTTTTTAGTATATTTTGAGGCCGTGTGCAGGGACATTCGTGAAATTTCGAACATCTGTTTCACGAAACATGACCACCAACTTGCTAAAAAAGTGTTTTTTAATTATATAAAATGCAAACGAAGTTTGAAAATCACGAAACTTGTCGAGGTGTCGTGTCATCGCATGTAGAGGCTGTGATAAAAAATTTGGAAGTTTCCGAGCAAGTTGTGATGTACGATGCCTAAAACCCAGACATCTCCACATGTGCTTAAATTGTACGTATATACTGATATTGATGTCGTTCATATGTATGCATGGGTAGGCTATAGAGTGCGTTCACTAATCGTAAGATATGAGGAACCTATCTGGACCGTCTGGTCACAACGGGTGGTTGGGTTGAGAGAACTTTTCCTTGTTGATTGATGATGAGATCCTGCGAGGTTTTGTGTAACCTCCCCTTTCCAGTTTTTCAATGAGATATATATGAATTTTGATGTACCTCTCTCTTGCTATTCTTGGATTGTTCTTGCATATATATTGGTGGGACGCGCATCGCGGAGGCATCTACCAGCCTCGGGCACCCACACGGTGACCCATGGCGCGCCACAGCAGCGGCTGTGGCAGGCCGCTGTCCGCTGGCCACCGGCGCCATGCAACATCAGATCTATTTTTGAAACATTCAGATAAAACATTTGCAACATATGTCTGAAACAGATGAAACACTTGAAATATGCGCTTGAAACATGCGTGTATAGGCATTGCAACATCTAGATCTACTTTTGCAATATCCAGATGAAACACTTGCAACAAAGTCTGAAACACTTGAAACATATACTCAAAACATGAGGTAGAGCCAAAGCAACATATGCAACATCTAGATGAAGCACTTCAAACATACGTCTGAAACATCTGAAGCATCCAGATGAAACACTTGAAACATAGTGTCTGAAACACTTGAAAGACAGCGTCGCCGGTGGCCACGTCCCTGGTGGGGAACTGCGGTACCCAGCAAGCTCGGGTTCAAGGGGACGCCTCGAACAACAGCCCAGCATACACCCAGGCGCAGACCTCCCCGAAAACGAGGTGGATGGGGGCGCAACACGGGATGGTGACAGGGTGCTGGGCGCGAAGCAGCGCGGGATGGGCTAGGTGCAGCGCCACCGCGCTGGAGAAGGCCGCGGCGAGCGTATCCCGCGATGGAGGCACCCGTGGCAGCGCATGCGTGCGGCAGTGGGGAAAAGATCGCATGCGTCACTATAACACAACATACCTTTCCCGACACTTTTTATAGTGGACAAAGGGTACTTTTCCCGACAGATAACCTCTCGCGAAAGGTTTTGCCGACAGTTTAGAAACAGTCACGCTATAAGCTGTGGGTGAAACTTTCACCGACAGTTAAAGGATTCGCCGACACTTTTTTGTGTTGCCAAATGGTGGACCTACGCCGACAGTTTAAACCTTTCCCGATAGTTTGTGCGTTGGCAAAACCATTTTCAAGGTATTTTGTGAATCATGCCCTGTTCAACAACTAACCTATCGGCAAAACTATACTACAGATATAGATATAAATACAATTTGAATAATTTGACAAATCCACTGTTATTCATATAGAAGGAAAATCTCAATTCTTAGGAGCTAGATAGAGTTGATTCATTTTCGGAAAACAGTGTTCTCATCAGGTCTACAAAACATGACATAGATGTTCTGAACTTGAGAGGACTAATAAAAAAAGCCAGAGTAATATTTAATAGGCCACACATTTCCGCGGAGGACCATCCATGAGAATGCTCTAAGCTGCAGCGCCCTTGCTCTTCTTGCGCTGAAGCTTCTTCATGTAGAACTCAAGCTCTTTACCCTCAAAGATGTACCTATTATACAAAAAAGAAAAGTATATTGTAAGGAGTTGCCTGCAATATAAGATATAAGTGAAAATAAGGGGACAACTTCCATTCTACTTGAAGCCTAGAAGGATAAATTTGTGACTGCTGCCAACATACACTAGTAAAAAAAGGGCTTCTATTCCCAGCTGCCAACCCCCTTTATTCTTGGTTACGCAGCTGGGAATAGGAGTTCGGGAATAAAGGGTTAGTAGCCGGGAATATAAGTGGACCTTTAGTCCCGGTTGGTGATACCAACCGGGACTAAAAAGGTAGCCACGCTAGCGCCTGGGCTGGCCCCTTTATTCTCGGTTGATATTATCAACTGGGACTAAAGGATCTTTTTTTTTTTTCTGCTTATTTCAATTGATGATTCTTTTTTGTTTTAATTTGGTTTTCGAATACGCATTATTCGCTGCAAAGTAATATCACGATATCTGCCGCATCATCTTTAAAGTTTTCGCTCGATCAATGCACGTAAGCAATACAAGTAAAAGTAAACTAAAACATAATATTACATTTCATCGTCACATGTAAAGTTTGCATTAATTGTACATTTCATCATCACATGTTCTTTGTATCAATATGAAATTTGGCTTTCATCATCACATATTTGGGTCATAGTAAAACTCACCGCCGGGAGTTAAGACCTGATCATTCAGAAATGCACCTATTGTCTCTTGGATTGCTTTGAGATGGTGTGTGTCCAGGGTTTTTTTCCTTCAACCAACAAGTCTTCAATTTGAGATATGAGATAAAGAAAAAGTATATTAGTATATATATATACATGTATCAAGAATAATGATAAATAAATTGTATCTATCACGAATATATATATATAAATATATGTATGAAGAATATATATATGTGTACACTTACCCTTTTTTCCTCTAGACTAGTTCTTTTTGAGCACACTCTCATGAACTCGCAAACATAGTATCCACAGAGATTGGTCCCCTGGGGCTGCCGCAGAACCCACTTTACGAGAAAAAGATTCATCATCATTCGAGCATAGGGAAATTGAACTAAGGTAGGTATATAGTACTTACTTTGTATAGCACTACTTTCAGTGGCACTTTGCGTTTCATATGGTGTTCCTGACAGACCTTTTCCCAACAACTACCAAATAACATAAAAAATATTTGGACCATTAATTTGCATGCAGAGAGACTGGAATAGTTTTGCTAGTGAGACTGCAATTACCTCTGAATAATATCTATCATCTCTTGGAACTCTTTTTGTTCTTTTCTCATCGAGTCCCAGATGCCTAGATGACCTTTCTTCAGATTGAGTCCCATCAATATCCAGTGTTCACTGCCATGTCCATTAACACTCATTAATTAGCTAACAGGTACAGTGAACATATATATATGGATACACGATCGTCGACATTATGAACACTTACCTGAAGTTGTAGGGAAAGAGGATACATTTTTTGTCACGTTGCTTCTCTAAGAACATCTTGATATTGGCCTCCGTTTCTACTTTTCATGTTGGTTGGGGTTTAGGGTTTTTGAATACGATATGTGGATCAATGAAACCAATATCAGTACACCCTCTCTTTTTGCACTCTCCCATCTCAAACCTGCATCATATATATAGAGTGAGGATAATAAACACAGACATGTACGTACGTAGCGACTTATTATTAATTAGTAGAAAGAATCACTTACAGACAATAGCAGCTGATGAGAGTCTTGTCGAGAGAGTTCCGGTGGACTAGTTGGTGTAATTCAGCTAACTCAATGTACATAACATCATCGCCACGGAACCAATGGTCGTCTTTGATTCTGACAGAAATATAGAACTCGTTCCGGTGATACGCGTCGAGGTACAAGGTGTTTAGCTTGAACAATTGTGTACCCAGTTCATTGATGGTCTTAGGATTTCATAGACTCCTGCCATGCTCATATTTCTGCCATTCATCCGCTACCGGCGCACTTTCAAAGATGAAATCGCCAAGGTCGATACCTCTCATAGCATAAAAGTTAGCAAGTTCCGCCATATCCACTTCTTTATCAGCAGGTATTTCCATCATATCCAACATATCTATGTTTGAACCATATTCATTAGCAATAACTAGAGGAGGGACTGATTGCAATTCTTGTTCTCCGAGTTGTGCAACAGTTTTCCTTGCTTTAGCAGCTTTCTTGATTATCTTGCTAAGAGTGCGGTCAGAGTCTGATGGTGGCGAGGGCTTACGAGCTTGCCGCCTCTTTTTCTGCTCAGCTTCCACCATCCGCCTTAGTTTAGCTGGAGGTAGGTGGAAGTGCTTCTGCTCCTGCTGCTTCCTCTTCCCTGTGCCTGAGAAGAATGCTTCGACGGTTTTTTAACCGCATCATCTAACTCCTCTTTACTCATTTCACCAAGCAATTTCTGTGGAATTGGCCTTGGTTTTACAAGGGCCTTCTTGGTCATCTTCGCCGGTGGGGCAGATGGCTTATTTATTTGCAGCCGTCTTCCCTGGTTCATGGGAGGAGGTGGGGGAAC